TTAATATGGAAATAAATATTTGATATATGTATATTATTAATTCAAAAATATAATTTATTTGTAGAAATTATTTTATTCTTTGACAATATAAATCATTTAATATTATTAATTTTTTTAAAAAAATAAAATTATAAAAAAAAATTTATAAAAAATCAAAACTGTAAATTAAAAATTTTAAAAAATATATAAAATATATGTAATTGTGTTTGTTTAGAAAAAATCATTTATATTATACAGACAAAATTTCAAAAAGTTTTATTGCATACTGTATTTATAACAGTAATAAAATTAATTATAGTGAAAAAATTTATCTGATTTTAATTATTTTAATTATTTGATTATATTCTAAAGTTCATATATACTCTTATTTGTTTTTTTATTAAGTAGTTTGTTAATTCATATTATTATGTTAATTATTTAATTTAATATATATATACATGTATATAGCATGAAGCATAAATAATTATACAATTAAAATTAAATTTTGGGTGTATTTGAAGATATAAAGAATAGAAATATATAAAAAAATTTAAATACATTAAAATAATATCATTAAATTATAAATAAAAAAAATAGCCGATTAAAATTATTAATTTTTTTGTCAATAATTAATTATTAAAATTATTTAAAAGTATAAAGTAATTAAATATTGATTAATAAAAACTTTAAAATAATTTTTTGTAATTTTTATATTAATAAAAAAATTTTTTTTAAATTATTTCTTAGCTTAATGTTAAGATACTTCCTTTTTGATAAAGTTTAACAAAATAATTTTCAATAGTAAGACAATAAAAACATTTAAATCTTTTATCGAAAGTCTGTTATATGGAAGATCATGAATTGTAAATGTGATATTGAAATTACGAATTCTCATATTCTTTAAGTATTCTTGTGTATTTAGTGGGTAAGTTAGACAATGTTTTTAATAACGTAAAGACTATTCGGATTATACATTTTACATTTAATGCATTTAAATTTGACTTGTTTATTTATCTGTTGAACACCGAAATTAAATATTAACGACAAAATATAAAATGTTACTAATATTATTAAACGAAAAGTAATTATACTAGAAAGGGGTTTTCTTTCTCAGTATACAGTAAATCTCCATAGACAAAAACAGTAGCGCCAGTTTTCATAACGATTTCAACTAAGATACTTGTAAAATAATTTGATTCCTTTTTTTCTGATATCCTGAACAACGTACGACGACTCGTCTATATCTATCGTAGATGCTATCACCACAATTTTCAAGAAACTATATGTAGTACAACCATTAATTACATTAAGATAATTATAAGAACGACCCATAATGTCCTCAATATATAAAGTTTTCAATGAATCAAATTCCAAATAACTAACGTGTTTTAAAAATTTTCCGAGATATACCGCTTCAAAATCGCAATAGAAATATATTTTCTCTAAACTAGAAGGAACATATTTTCCCAAAACACTTAATAATTTGTTTGAATTACAGCGAGATTTAATGGCTAATTGGCTTATCATGGACCCTTTCAAATAATTCATAACCATGCTGCAGTTTTTCCCCTTGTAAAGTAACGTAAACTTGGATATGTTTGGACAGAATTGAGACAAGGACATTATTATTTTTTCAGACACCTCATCAGTGTACAAATTCATCAGATTTTTGCCAGCTTTTTCAATAAGTCCAGCTAAAAACGTATCTTCGAAGTAATTTGTGTCAAAAGTTAAACTCTTGAGTTGAACTGGTGATTGCAAAAACACTTGATAGCTGTCCTTCGTAGCTCCATAACAATTACATATTTCCATGGTTTCTAACTTCGTATACTCTGCAATTCTATTCGGATTAATGCTTGTGAAATCGATATAATGTAAAGAAAGTGAAGTTAAAGATTCCTTCTGAGAATATAGGCGATTCATAAATCTTTCTTGGACATGGACGGTATCATCGACGATATCAGGAACATCGATCCAAAACTCCTCTAGATTAGACTGTGCTGTTATGATGTCGGCCAATGTATCCATGATCTCAGTATCTGTATATCGTTTGATCTTATACTCTAGCCTTTGAAGATTAATACACGATTTTGATAAATTCCTTAATAACTCTTTATAGTAAGTAGATGACTCAAAATGTATTGTCAAATTGCGCAATTTTGATAATCCGAGTTGATAGGAGAAAAATGGAATGACGTTCAAAACATCACAGAAAAATGGTCTGTCTTGCCAAATAGAATAATAATCAAACATTTCAATCTCTACTAAACGACTAGTTCTTAACACCAATTGAAGAATAGCTGTCATGATTCTTCTGAGTCTTTTGACGTGCTTGTTTTGAAATAAATCAATTTGCTTATTGCGCATTTTCCAACCGTTCATTATTATTTCTGCGATATTTGTAAATGAGAATTTCTCTAAATATGAAGTGTACTGAAAAAATGGTCGCGGAAAATTAAAACGTTTATCAAACGGGTGTAAGATTTCCTTTTCATCTTCATTTAGCGCCGCAATATAAGTTCTGTTCAATGAGTTCCAATTATTTTTGACACGTTGAAAAGAGCTACGCCATCGCGGAAATGGTCTACGCCATAATATGGGAACTACTAATTTGCACCACAACTGACAGACGACTAGACACTTGTAAAGAGTTGAGTAATTATCTTCAAAATGCAAAAATATCTCTAGAATACACTCATATGGAAGATTTGCAAATGTTTTCATCTTTTCTCCGGCATAAAAATCTGAATAGTATGTGCGTGAGTAGCCCTCTTTAATCGAATATCTGTTGTGCAAAATCTCGTAATAATTACGCGATTTGGGTCACGTGATCGATGATCAGTCCAGGATTGCGAGAAAAAAAATAGGACTGAGACCGGCGCTAGAAACATAATAATGATGATGTAATTAATGCTAGATTACATAATAGCGCCAGAAATAAGTAAAATTTCCCTTACCTTTCTAATGTTTCTAAATTGTTCTTTAAGATTCTATTTAAAAATGTTAAAATTTGGTTCAACATTAAAATCAACTTTATATTTTTTTATTTGTAAAAAAAATAAGAAAATACATACCTCGGTCAAATCAAACGCCTCACCATAAGCAATTACCAGTTACAATATTTAACAAAAATAAATTTATTGAAATCAGTATTGCGAAAATTAAAATATATTTAACAATTGGCGTAACTTTAAACAAACAAGATACTAAATTAGATAAGTAATTAATTAAATAGTAATTTTTATAAAATATAAAATAGTAATAAGAATAACAATATTATATTTATTGTTTCATAATCGAGATCTGGAAAAAATACAAAAAATTTAATTGATTTCATATTACTTCAAAAAAATGATCAAGATTAATTCTTACCAATCATTACAAGAATTATATTTTAAAGTAACTCAAAAACAACTTTTAGCTTAACAATTCAAACTGATTATTTCTAAAATTTTTTTTAATTTAAGCCCTTTGAACAGTCCACGCCTGGGTTGCGAACCCACCCCCGTGGTGTAAGTTGGTAATCAGGTTAGAAATAGAGGTGGTGCTAGGGTTAGGGTAACTAGAATAGTTAGTCAGACTCTTCATGTAACGATTGTAACTTCATATGTTAAGTTAATAAAAAGTTCATATGTAATATGCTTTGCCTCTAATATATATATATATATATATATATATATTTTTAATTTATTTGTTTAATGTATTTTAAAAAGATTTATATATAATCTAAATAATTATATTATTTAAAAAGAACTTATTTAATATAGTTAAAATTTATAAAATATAAAAAATATTTATAATAAATTGTTCTAAAAGTTTATTACTGTAATTAAAGTATAAAAAACTTTAATACTTGATAAAAATTTATTAGCAAACTTAAAAATTAATAAGTTTTTCTTAAAGTTTATTTAAAAGGTTTATTTAAAAGTTTATTGCTAAAAATTTATTAATAATTATTTTTTAAAAACTATTGATAAATCGTTTTTAAAAGTTTATAAAAAAAGATTTGTTATTTAAAATTTATTTTTAAAAGCTAGTCAGTAAGTTGTTTTTTAAAAAGTTTGTTATTTAAAAGTTGATTTTTGAAAGTTAAAAAATAAATTGTTTTTAAAAGTTTATTAAAAAGTTTATTGTTTAAAAGTTTATTGTTTTCGATTAACAAAAAAGTTTATTATTGAACTTATTTTGAAACTGTTCTTAAACTTTATTGTTTAAAAAAGTTTTTTTATAAAGCTTATTAATAAAGTTACTATTTAAAAAAGTTATTATATAAATAAATAAATAAATAAATTTTTTGTATTTTCTTTTTTAAATCTTTAAATCTTTTTTTGAGCCTTTATAATAATTAAAAACAAATCTAACTCAAAAAATTTTAAAAGATCTATTGATAAAATTTTATAAAATCAATTAATTATAACTAGTTATTATATAAGAAATTAAATATAACAATAATGATTTTAAATTAATCTTATTTTTTTATTTGTAATAATTCTTTTAAACAATATATTGATGAAGATTTTTTTTTTTTTTTTTTAAATCGCAAATAGACATTAAATGCGAGACTTTTATTAAACGAGAGTTTATAGC